GAAGTTAAAAATTGAACTTCGAAAAAATAGCAAGATCAGTGTGATAGGTCAAATTAATTGCTTTTTCATACAACCAGTTGTTTTTTATTAGGTAAATACCAGGTTTAGTTGGTATAAAAACCAAACGATTTTGCATTCACTTATCTGTCTATAGTTATAGAATCTTTTACAGTAATTTCTAATCTCTCTTTATTTTTTTTCATTCCATCTACATCCGATATAATGTAAGCCGCTATATTAACATAACAATCTTAAATCTTTATTTGGTAAGTGCAACTCCACTATATTTATCAAATCTTCACGAAACCACCATCAAGATATAAATTCCAAAATTTTAAATGAGAGCAATGACCTTTCGTTAGGTCCTGACTATTTAACAATCTACAAAATATAACAGACACAACGGTTATACATATAAATGGTCGATAATATTAACTGTTACAGTAGTTTATGGATAGAAATAATAGCTCGTCCAATATGCAAGTTAAATGCGTTATCAAAATACGATCGAATTGATCTAGCTATCTTAGTTTATGAGTAAATATGTTTTTTTAGTTTCCTCGGAACTGCAAACAAAAATTTCCGGTTCCATAATTTTCTTCACATAACTTTTAAAACTGCATCCGAATTTGTCGTCAGTTTTTCCAGCTCTGTTGTAGTTTTAGTTGCACTAATATTACTGACGAACAGACAGGCAGCCGTCAGAACAAAACTATAGGGTCGGTAAAAACCTCGTCCTCCTCTATACTTAAAGTATATTCATTTATCGTGACGACAATATACTCGGACGTCCAAAAACAGTTCTAGGACGTTATGATCATGCGTAGTAAATAAATGCGAACACATCTTAATATTCAAGTATCTAAAAGGTCTCCCACGCCGTAAGCATTCACAAATACAATAGTGATGACTCCACCAAACAACAAAAATTAGTTCCACCAAACATCGAAATTCACAGCTCCAAAACTTGCCCATAACGAAAGCCGACCCCGTAAACCCGTCTTAGACGTTGTGTTACCGAGAAGGAAATAAAGAAAAACTTTTCCAGACCGAATGAACATCCGGTAAGCCGGTAATGTTCAACATTTTCTTTCTTTCTGAAGGAAGCATCTATAGCTGTTTTCATGTACAAATACGATCATTAAGATTCTGGATTTTCTTTTATAATGTCTGGTGTATTTTCGGATTTCACTTGTTTTTATTATATAAAGCGGAATTTTCCGTATGGACCATAAATTAGTATTTTCTGTAAAACCTTTTCAGAAAGCATTTTTTTATTATTATTAGGCATTAACTGAGAGCGATTGGCCTATATTACACTACTGTAACGAGAGGGAAATCAGTTTAAAAATTACAATAACCGCACAATCTTAAATTCAATTTTAATCTGTTTCTATAAAGTAGGCCACCCTATAAATAAAATTTTAATTTTTTAGCAGCTTCCGAACTACATATTATTGTAAAAAGAACAATTGCTAATTGGAGTTTATTCGATCGTCAGAATTTTGTACTTTTTGTATGTATACAGATAGTATAAAGTGAAAAATCATTGCTCTCTATATCCTATACCAAGTGACAAACAATCCTAGACTCTACACTAAAATACCTATCGAAAAGAACGAAGTCATCTCAAAAGCCAATAATTCATTCTAATACTAACATTTCATAGGGATATTTAATCTTTTCATATATTTGAGTATATATATCTACCATAAATAAATTAATTTAAAAAATGTCTAATCAATTCTAAATAATAAATAATATACTTTCTTTGATATTAATAATGGTGTAAGGGATTGAGACGCGCTGGAGAGCCTTCTTTTTAATTATTGACTTGGAAATGGCAGTCAGGCAGATAAATGTTAGATTGAATGGGACTATCTTCAATAGATCGACAACAATTGTCGCATTCGCTGATGATATCGTTATAGGGGGCAGACGTATGATGAGAGACGAGATCATTAATACCTAACGAGATCCAAGACATATTTTTAATGTTGCATAGAATTAACTCTGTCTATATTAAAGGCGGGGTGAATTGAGTAGTTCTAAAACCGGCATATCCGAGCCCAAGCCCGGATAAAAGGTGAGGGATCGCGGAGAAACACTTCGTTAAAATCCTAGATTCGATTATTAACCGAATATTAACATCTTGTGGGAGCTCTTGGTCTAGGATTACCAAGAGAAGTTAAAAAATAGAAAATTTCAAAACATCAAGGCTGACTACTGGCCTGGGTGCCAGAATGGTAATAATTATTAAAAAATAATTGTTTGCATCTATAGCTAGTCTTAACTTAAAAATAAATATAAATATGTCAAATATATAAACGAATATTTCAAAACTTTTTGGAAAACAAATGCTAGAATAGTCATATAACATAGTGATAATATACCTTTAACACCGCAAGTGCGTCTGAGAGGCCTAGTAGGATAGATATACTATTATATATTAGAGCGCAAAATTAACTGGACATTTTTAATGCGGTTTCTTCAGAAAATCCGTACAATTCCCTATACAGTAAAACTTCACATGTACGCATATAAAAGAAAACAAATGTTCCTTATTTCATCATACCACTTCGGTTTTTTTTATTAATTTTTTGTGGTACCTTGATTTCAATTGTTCCATAGTGCTGGTTAATTCTTCGTCATTTGACGTTTCATAGGTGATCAAGAGGTTTTTGATGTAAAGCCACTTCCGTAGCAGTGTTTTAATGTATAAACTAATGATACCTGAAGAAGCAGCTCAATACTGCCTTTGTCAAGAACACAGCATTCGATATTTTATCGAAAACCTAAGTACACTTAGAAGTACAGCGTTTGATGCAATTATGACGTATCAGGGAAACAAGTTTCTACCGGAGGTGGTCTGGACAGGGAAAGCAACGATCAACTAAAGCTATTGAAGATCGCTTCTTCAATGCTCAATTCTACAAACACTTACTGCTGTAACTCTGGCTATAACACGGACAGATGTTCTCGGATACTGTGCTAACAAGGATGAGGGAAAGATATGATATCCCATTCCATCTGACACTGGTTCTCTCCTATATAAAGAACTTAGAAACTGCGATAATTAATATAAATTGGGATATGGATCAATAGCAACGAATTCTCGTAACGGATGAATCCCGTTTCACGAAACAATGTTAATCATTGACAACATGTGTTTACACGTCCTAGAGATAGATATAACCAGAATTTAATTTCTCCTAGTATATGAGAGGAAATTTCGCTGGAAGTTCGTACAGCTCATAACTCATCAGTACCTCTTATGATTTAATTTCACAGATGTCTTGGGACAACTTAAACAGAGGATTAGTCCTTACAATGGTATAATCGGAAGACATGTTGTTATACAAATAAGAACATATACCGTAAGATAAGATTGCAGCTATGATAAAAATTATGTCTTAAATGTTTGGAATGAGCTTACGGAATAATTACCGACTTATAAGGAAAGAAAGTAATACTTTATCCCACTTTATATTATCAGTGAATTAAACATCCCACAGTCTTGATGAACACAAGAATGTCTTAGCATGTTTTATAGATTATGAGAAGGCATTCGATACCGCGAAGTAAGACAAACCTTATAAGTCGGCTCAATAGATGGTAAATAAGAATTATCAAAAAAAAAATGCAACGTGTCAGCTCACATAAAAATCGGAAATATGACAACATCTGATATTCAAATTCTCAAAGAAGTCAGACAGGGGTATATACTATCGCGGCTCCTGCTAAATTTATAGTCTGAATCCATTTCCATGATGCCTTAGATTATATAGAAATAGGAATAAAGATGAATGAAAAGCCTATTATAAAATCTGATATGCTGACGACGCGGTCCTTCTGGCCAATCATGAGAAAGAGTTACAGTTCCTAATAAAGTCAGTAACATACAATAAAGACAACAAAAGTCATTGTTATGAGCAAACGTAGTATAGACAGAGTACATATTTAATTGCTATAATTATAACATCACTTACAGTTTGACAAACAATCATATCAATAGTTTTCTTCTATATATGTTTGTTTCATAACTATCTCCTTATAATTATAACCCTGACAGTTTGACAAACAAGCATATCAATAGTTTTCTCCTATCCATGTTTGTTTCTTAACTCTCCTCATCAAGAAATATTCCACATTTTTTTATGTGCAATAAAATTGGTGAACGTTTTAGTATGCATCTATCCAACTAAATTCCTTGTATCGGCATATAAGTACAGTTTATATCCTCTTTCAAACTATGCATACATATTATTGGCATAATTTATAATATACCTGATAGAACCCTATTAGTTACAATTTGTAAGTTTAGCACTAAAGGAAGCTTTCCAGAAATCTGAGGATGAACAGCAAAGTTTAGTATGCCTTTAACCTTGTAGCAAATAAGAATTTTTCGACATAAAATTACATGCGAAACAAACATTAGATAGCCGCGTACACGTCGTGATTTGGTACAGAGATATTTTTTCTCTGAAGGCAATTCTAAGAACTATACGGATTTTCTATTGGATTATTAATAATATTTTTTGTGAGCGCATTTAATTATTTAATCTGTATCTGGTGCACCTTTAGGAATAGACCAGTAATAGAATAGTCAGGGCGTGGTGACACTCTTAAATATTGTTAGCTTGCTGTCTCCATTGGCTGCGACCCGGTGCCAGGTGAACTGCTTTATATAGACACTCTATTCTTCTGGCTCTGTGGTCAAAATAATCTAAGTATGCTCGGTTTACTTTTTTTAATAGCCTGTGTTTTATATTAAACTTTTCCAGAATTGATAGGTTGGATCTTTGTTCTATCCGTTTTATCGTTGGATACGCGTAGAGTTCTCTCTTTAGATCCATTTCGAGGGCTTCGATCTACTTCCAAACGACCTAATCTAAACTAAAACAGTAACTATCGCGCTCAATAATATTACTGAATCTTCTTCTTCTTCTTTGGGTGCCGTGTCCGTATTCAGACGTTGGCCGTCATCATGCTTACAATTTCCTGAAACATTTCTGTCGGCTGCTGCGCGAAATAATTCTTCTACTGTGAAACCACACCATTGTCTAATAATATTACTGAATAGATTACTTATATGTTTGTCACAGAAACACTATAGTACTAAAATTAAATCAACCTAATAGAACTTAAATAATAATCAACTACCAATATACATTTTCAGGTACTGTATTTCACAAAAAATATTAGGTTTTCTTATTCTGTTTGATTCGAGCTGGGAACGCTGCCACAATAAAAACTTAAACAATAATTAACTCAATAATCTGGTCTGTTTCGGACCAGAATTCAGTAACTACCGTACATTTACAATTATTATCGTTTTGGTTATATAATTTTTTTTGTAATCCAATTTGTTATTGAAATGTTTCTAAAAGCTTTTTTGTTAATTATCACGTGACGTTTTTAATGGCTTTTGAGAGAACATAATTCATTCTTTTCCACCGGTCTACCGCCTTTTCCATTTGAGAGATATACACACTGACATTTAAAAATTCACAAAATTAAAAAGAACTTGGAGTAAGTACCTGTTCCTCTTGCGGCAAGCGAACTTACAATAGCGATTGAGTTCGCCGATTCTGGACCATGCTTGTGGAATAGAGAACGGCAGTTAGTGCGTCACCTGCATCTGCGGGGTAAGGTGGGGGTGCAAAAACAACGATCACTGATCGAGTATGTCGATGAGGGATGCGAAGGCACACGAACCGAGACCTGACGACGACATCAGCCGTACCAGTTCTTGGGCATGTGCCATCGCGACCTCTAGAGGAGGTTTTCTTGGTTTACTATTTGATTCTGTAAAAGAAAAGAATAATTTAGTAAATACACAAACAATAGTTCATTTTTCTAATTATAAAGTGGTACCTTTACAAGTCCCCCTACTTCGTCAAGTATTCTCGGAGTTTGGTAATAATCAAGGCCCTTGAAATTATATATAAATAAAGTACGTTAATTTTTCAATTAGGAATAGGGTATTATAGGTAAGAACTATGGAAGCAATTGAGATATCGCTATATCGCTTAGAATACTTAAGACCCCGTGGACTGACCGAGTCACAAATGGTTGTCAGAAGAATGAAGAAGAACCTAGAGGTACTGATTACCATCAAATCTCGAAAGCTATAGTACTTCGGATACATTATACAAAATTAATCCATATATGCCCCCTACAAGCCATCCTGCAAGGAAAAATATTTTGAAAGAGAGGTTCACAAAGAAGAAGAATATCCTGGATAAAGAAGCTCAGAAACTAGTTCAACACAACATCTGTGCAACTTTTCCGCGGTGCTTCAAACAAGATAAAGATTGCCATGATGATTGGTAAATGAGTGGTGCTCCATCTTGCTGAAAGTATATCAGATCCGCTGGAACTTTCAGGTTGACTGGATCAGGATATAAGTCAAAGTTGGTACGATATTATTTTGGAAAAGTTATCATCATTCAAATTACCATCAAGGAAAAAGGGTACCATTCAAATTACCATCAATCTATATGATCTCCAATAATTTCTTCCATACATTAACCTTTTCAGGATATTGCATATTATGTTCTCCCATCCCGTGAGGATTTTCCCTAGACAAATAGCGGCAATTCTGACAATTAGTATGCCCGTGAAGTTTAAAGTTACACTAATAATAAAACAAAACATTTCTAATCGGATTGGTATCTAACATTGCCATTATTTTTTCACAAAGATACATTCTTCTATCAAAGTCGTCTTACTGTCGAGTTACTAAGTTGGTATCATTTTATAGGGATGTACGGATATATCATCCTTTCGATTGCCGGTTCTGAACAATATCAAACCATCTAAAGTATAACATGTGACATAATTATAATACAATGCGCAAAAGTTAGCAAGAACCTTGGAACAGATTAACATCCAAGCTCCATAAGATCCAACACAATATTGAAGGTATACGATATTGAAGGTATTGGACATAATAGAATGAGCCTTGAGAGAATAATCCTCCGACGTGTTCTAAATAATATAATGATATACTTTCTATGAGGAATATAATTGTTGATTGTTCAATGTACGAAGATTCCAGATAACACCACCATCTATGGTTTTAGCATCCTTGCCTAAGCCCATTGCAAATCTGTTAGTGAGGAAGTTTTCCATTTTTTCTCGTGACTGTAAGCCTGGAAACAGACTTTTAACGCCTTGGTGAAGTTGAGGTCTAAGAGATTTTGTGAATTCGGCCAACAGACACTTATTAATGCACTAAACTTCTTGAAATACAATCATTGTATTACAAGATTTAATTGTTTTTTAATTGTAATGGTTTGCAAATTGTGGTATTTTGTGGTATTTTTAGTTAGTACCAACTGTATTTTTACAACTACTTGTATAAATTGTTATAACTTATTATAAATTAATGTGTTCATAATAATCCATTTTGTTGAGACACGGCATCTAAATAATAAAATTAGGAGTTCAATGCAAAATTGAAAAAAAACTTACCTAAAATTGCAGAATTTAAAGATGCACATACTGATTCCCTCTGTGTGGGTTCTAATTGCCATCCAACGGGACTAGCCCAAGGATTTGAATATGCTAATAAACTAAATGCGTCCTAAAACAGAGCGACTGTAATATAATACTCAAATCAAAATGGTTTTTAACTTACTTCCAGCATTTTTTCGTTGATATTATTACTACTTTTATCGATTTTTAACCTCTGGCTCATACTGTATAATTCTCTGCCAAATTCTAATATCCTTTCTACAGATTGTTTTGTATTACTTTTACGACACGGTACGTCTACATCTAAAAATAATATAAAAACTATTAACCAAGTAAGGGAAAAAAACCCTAATAGAAAATTCTGGTCCTCCGGGTTGTGGATAGGAGCCACAGGCTTGCGACTCGTTATCCGTTAAAAGTTTTGTAGTGCAAAAAATCCCAATAGTAACCCTTAGAACAGAATGAACCTCATATAAAACGTATGTACGGGGTATAAGTACTAAACATCAGCTAAGTGAGACCCTTAACGACAATGCGTTAGATATTGAAGTGGTAGATAGAAAATCTAGGTAGTGTAAGCGCCTAGCGTTGCTTTAAGGCAACAGTTAATATCTCAGAATATCTCAGAAATGTAATATGCGAGAAAAGCATTTTAAGAAGTTTTTATTACTTACAAACAGAACATTAATAATATTGCATAAAAAATACAAAATCAATCATTTATGACATATGATTTCGGAGGCCACAAAATGACTTTACATATTAGGCGTATATTTAACAACGGACGATTCAAATGATATTGAAAAGGAAGAATTGGTTGAGTTTACCGAAAGTACAAGCTGAATACAGCCGCAAATTTCACAAATATTTGGGTTTGGCAGTGTTGGCATGTTTTTATAAGGCATATGTTGAGTGCTTGAAATATAAAGAGATAAAGCGTTTAAAAAGTACATTTTGATTATACTATTTTATGAATTCTGCAATTTTTATTATATATGAAGTAATAACTAGTAGATATTTGTCTATTTCGAGATTAATTCCAAACATCTTTTGTAATCTGGCAACTGCTGATTTGACGATTGCCAAATCTATCCCCTAATCTATCAAAGGGTAACTGCTAAAAAAATTCTAATAATTAACTGCAGTTAATCTCCAAAGAATCAAGTACTTACTCATTGTTGTTTTATATAAATAAAAAATTGCAGAACTCATAACACAATATAAACAAAATGTACTTTTCTAAAGCTTTATTTTTTTATATTTGAAGTATACAACATCTACATTCTAAAAACATGCCAACAGTGCTATACGGAAATTTGTTGTTCCATGTTTCACATTTGAGGCTATAATCAGCTTGTACTTTCGGTTAACTCAACCGAAGAATTTTACGAAAATTTGACACTCCTATTAAATAAAATGGGGAACAGAAAAGAGGTAGTATTTATTGGTGAATTTTATGGTCGAGTTGGACAGCCAACCGAGAAGATTTATTCTTATGTCGTTAAGTTCTGAGAAACCACTTGCCTAAATCCCCACAAGTTTTCGGGAACTTTAAATTTTAACCGCGAAAGCACAAAACGCTTTTCGACATGAGAAGTGTTACACCCAGAAGGAATAATTTCTTGAACCTAATTTTTTGGCAACATAATGACTATATTTGAAACATGCTATGATAACAATACCAATGTTTTATCTTTTCTACTTTTTGTACAAATAAAGTTTTATCTTAAAATTTTTTGTGAAGAGACCGATTTGTGATTTTGTGAAGAAACAGGTTCGTATAAAAAATTTTAGTTATTATTCCTCACTCTAATGGTATTCAGTGTAAGAAAATGCCTTGAGTTCGAAGATACCAAAATTACCACCATGTTAGCGATTTTGACAGGGGTAGAATTATTGTGTATAAAGATATGGGTTTGTCGTATCGCGAAATTGGCCGTCGTATTAATTATACGACAATGAGGGTTATGCGTGTCTGTCGTGTGTGGACAAACGAAGGTAGAGGAAGACGAAGAAGACGTCAACCGAGGTGTACCACAGACCGTCTATATAGGCGCTCTAGATTACTGGCTCTGCGAGACCGTTTTGCTACTACGCTTCAAATTGCTGAACAATGATTTGGAGTAGTAGATAGATCTGTTAGTCTACGTACACTATACCGTCGCATTCCAGCCTTTGGACTGGTTTCATTCCGCCCACGACCAGTACTTCCCTTGATTGCGGATCACTGTCACCAACGGTTGAATTGATGCAGAGAACAGCAGCACTGGGTGGCATAATGTAGCATTCAGCGATGAATCACGAATCTGTTTAGGAATGCGTAATGGCCGTAAGATCGTAACAGGTTTCAACAGAAGGTTTAGGGATGTAGCAGACAAAATTCTTCAGGTGCCTTTAGTAAACAATGACAATAACACATTAGGAAGAAACAACAAAGCAGGATTGTCAACATGGACGTTAACTATAATCTTAAAAGAAAAACAAGAAAATATAGTGGAAAAATTACAGTAAGTAATAAAAACAGTATTTAACGATTCGTCATTGGACAAAGTTTTCAAAATACATACTAAAATTAATAAATATGTGAAAGCGATCCTCTAAATTAAATAACATGTCTTAAGACCTCTAAAACCAGTGAATAATATTTTTTACTTGTATATGACTGAATTTTAAGTATAAATTCCAATAATAACACTCACCCATATCTTCTTCTTCGTTATCACAGCAGGTAGTAAGAATTTCTGGTGCCTCGTCAATATTATTACTACTATTACCATTTTGATATCCTTTATTACTAGATGTGCTACTTTTACCGTTGATACAAGAGTCTCCATGTCCGTTCTGTACTTCGTCGGATGCGTCCATTTCTTCCATTTCGCAATCTTCCGTGCTGATTATTGGCGAATCATTGGTACAGTTGCTACCGTTTCTGGCAGTGTTATTTCTATTCATTTCCTCAACGGACTAAACAAAAATATGCAAAAAATGAAGTTTACAATCACGATTAAGATAACAACCGTAAGCAGGCCATTAGAAAACCAAAATATTTCTCAACATTATATCCAGATCTTTAATGTGTGATATCACTTATTTACAAGATCGGTTCTTTCATTAAAAAATATTTGAATGCGACTAAACATAATCTACTAAATAAATGAAGTGGTTCAATGTCTGCGTATCGTAAAATTTTGCTAGTGGGAAAAAATATATGATGCGTATATATTTAAATTTATTTACTACTTGCAAATTCTACATGGGAATTCACTTACAAAATAATCTTACCCAACTTTTTTAAAAATAGAAAGATCTAAAATGTCGAATTTGAAGTTGTCTAGATATTTTTTCAAATCCCAAATAGAAAATTTGAAAGAAGATAAAAAAGTTTTTTGAGATTGATTCTAAAAGGTTGGTTTAGCATATGTATACGCCTTGTATTACTACGAGTGTACTTACAATCTGTCCCAAACCCTTCTTTCAGTGCGTCACGAATTTCGACGTCATATAGGGTTTTAAGAAAGTCGAGAATTATTGCATGACATTTTAGTTAAATCTGACGGTTGCAGGATTGTAATCGGCTAAATGTGAAAAGGTTATTTTTTTTAACCCTTTCCGACACGGCGTACACTGTAGTGTACATATACTTCAAATGCTAGTAATGGGCTATATCCGAATCAACTCTCTGTAAGTCATGCGGCACACTGTAGTGTCGTATGACAAATTGCATATAAAATCGACGCATCACATCAAAACGTTTACCTTCTACTGTTTTGTGTAAAGTGACCATTCTTAGTACAGTGAATATCACGTTGGCGTATAACTTCAAATTAGTTATGTGTTGCTGGTGTTTTTTGCGTGTTTATCAAACTGTTATATTTTTCTCGAGTCTATTGTAATTTCAGGTAAGTTATGAATTATTGGTTTCTTAGAAAACTTCTAATATTTTGATAGCATGAAGGTTTACAAATATGTACTTTACAGTGTACATGATGACTGACAGACGGTACTGGAAAAAACCGTTAACTGAGAAGGAACTTTATGAAATCATCAATGGAGATAATTCCGATTTAGAGGAACTAGATATGGAAGAGGATAATTACTTTGAAGATCGTGATATGCAGTGTAGGGGTAAGTGGGACTCTTCTTAGTTTTTTATTACTTTTTTTTTAGCAAAATTGTGTGATATTAGAGTACTGTTGTTTGTAGATGAGAATGAATTGGTGGAAGGCGATATATGTGAGGAACCAGAAGAAGTTGCGCTGATTGAAATTGTGTCCGAATCACATGATATTCAAGATACGCCAATGCAAGAAATACACACACATGTCAGACAGCACACGAATTTGCAAGCGAATACCTGAAGTCACAAAATTTAATTGAAAAAGAACAGATCAGTTGGACAAAGGGGATCTATGAAATGTCAAAAATATTCAGTCTTATAAAAGTAAGAAACAAGAAGTGATAAGTTTACCCAGTCCAGTAGAAATTTTTTACCAGTATTTCACGGATGAGCTCAATATCTGCGTAGAAAAAACAAACTTATATGCTGTTGTTAGCTATGTGCCAAACTTTCCCGCTACAAACATTGCAGAAGTCAAGACATTTTTTGGAATTCTGTTAATAATGGGTAATTTGAATTATCCGAGAGTCCGAATGTACTGGGATCAAAAATTTGCAGTTCCTCTAATATCTGAAATTATGCAAGTAAACAGATTTTTCAAACTACGAAATACGATGCATTTCACTTCCAACGAAGATCAACAGCCGGAAGACCGACTGTGGAAAGTACGCCCTCTTTTCAATACCATAAGAAAAAGATGCAGGCAGTTGGAACCGGAGGAGGTATATAGTATCGATTAACAAATGGTTCCTTTTAAGGGTGCTGTGAATATTAAACAATACATTAAAAATAAGCCGACGAGATGGGGTATAAAATTATTCCTATTATGTGGGATAAGTGGAACAATATATGATTTCATCGTCTACCAAGGTGCAAATACAGAACTGAAGGCAGAGTATATGTTGTTTGGCCAGTCTCCGGCTGTAGTAATGCACCTATCCGAGCAAATACCTCCAGGAGCACAACTTTATTTTGACAATCATTTCAGTTCTTATTGGTTATTTCAATGGTTGTCAAAGAAACCAATATATGCCGCTGGTACAATTCGGTTGGACCGCTTTTCTAAACCACCTTTTACTATGTGCCAAGAGAATAAAAAGAAACTTACCAGGGTTTCGTCGAGAACGTTATCTGCAGAAAATCTGGTGTTGTTACTAACCAAGTGGATTGATAGCGGAGTTGTTACTCTGGGTTCCAATTTCGTTGGAGTAAGTTCTTCTAATGTATGTCGAAGATGGAATAAGACGATAAAAGAGTATATTGAAGTGACACGCCCCAAAGTAGTTTCTCTTTATAACAATGGGATGGGAGGTGTTGGCAAGTGCGATTTTCTTATTTCTTTGTACAGATCGTTTATCAGAACAAAGAAATGGACTATTCGATTAATGTCACATGCTGTTGACATGGCTGTCACCAACAGCTGGTTGGAATATAGAAAGCAATCGGAGGAGCTGAAAATACCGCAAAAAAATGTCATGGACCTTATACATTTCGACAACACGTTGCTGAGACACTTATTTTGGCAGCAAAAATACCCAGCAAAAAATGGGGGAGACCAGTTTCAAATAATCCTCTACATCCTCAAGGTAGTTCTCCTGTAGGTAACGCAGCAGGTCCTTCTGGTAAACAAGTGCGTCCGATTGAAGATATTCGTTATGATAACTTTGTCCATTTACCGACTTTCTGTGACAAAATCGTTCGTTGTAAAGGAAGCAACTGTGGATCAAGAACGTATATTCGTTGCACAAAATGTCAAGTTATCATTATGTATTGCTCGAAATCAAAACTGTTTTTACAGATTTTCATACCAAATAAATAGTTTTTGTCAATTACAGTCTTATAAATAAAAATCATTTCATATTGATATGTGTCTGTTAATCATTGTGTACACGTGTACATGACGTAACTTCAGAATGTCCAATTTGACAAATTTCCTGAGGAGCTTAAAAATTGTAGAAAAATATTTCTAATAATCGCTAAAACTTAAAAAAATTATATATCATTTTAAAAATTCGTGTCGGAAAGGGTTAAATGTGGAGTAAAAACTTCAACAATTCAAATTGTTATTTAATTTACATATTAGAGGTCCCGTCCTGTATAAAAATTTGTCATATTTCCAGTTTGTCATAATTCCTATACTATACATTCCAAGGAAAGTGCTTAATTAGCTAAGATTTGTTTATGGATTTATTATTCTTTATTACAAACACTATGGAATTGGAATGTTTGTTTATTTAAAATAACGCTTCCTCCTAGAATCTTTTAAGACTTGACTACGAGATAAAAAATTTACTGGCAATTGCAAGACATCAAAGCAAACATTCCTCGAATATTATATTTCAAACAATCCACAATTCATAATCGAATTCATTAAAATCAATGATTACAGTAGATATGTGGCTGGTATCAATAATTATATCTTACATTTCAAGAAAATGTCGTAGTTCTTAAAAGAACCGTTTTAATACATATAAATAAATATCCATAACGGTATTATTTTAAAATATTTCCTCAATATCATTCCTGAATTCACAATCTGATTCGCGAACGACAGAAACTGGTAATAAAGTTTGTCCCAGCCTCTTTTTCTAATTGAAAATAATTTAATAATTTTAATATTAGTCTTTGTTCATTCTCGGTATATCTAGGAATATTTCAAATATTTTTATGACGGTAAATACAAAATGTCTGAGGTAAAATGTCTGAAAATACTAACTTGGAATGACAATTATCATTTTATCAGTTGACATTGTGAAAGTACTGTCACTGTCACGACAGAGACCATCTGCGTCAAATTATATTTACCTGCATCATTGATTGGATATCTATTTAGCGTATTCTAAACTCCAACAACTGTAAGCAAAATTCGCTTTAATATGCGAATACCCGTAAACGATACCTACTTTTCTAAGTTCTATGTATAATAATAACAGACTCACGTTTTTTTCTGTCACTTCTAGCTTAATGCGTTAGAGAGAGTTCGAACAACTATGACGCACTGAAAGAAGGGTTTGGGACGGACTATAAACGGTTTTTAACATTGAGAACTCACTAGCAAAATTGGATAATACGCCAAATTTCGGCATCTAATTGAGGGCGTTCATTTGACTTGATCTGAGTGTTTTGACTTTAATAATTATGGTATATTTCGAGAAGAAAAAAATACTTACTTCTTGTGAACCATTCTTATTCTTTAAACATTTAGTAGATTGTATTACGGACATTTGTTGACTGTTTGGCGAAAAACCACTTACGCTAGTTTTCTTGTGGCATATTTCTATGTCAGATCCATTTACCATTTCCACGAACTGACGACATTTGAGCATGAACAACAAATTCTGGTTGTTTTCTAAAAGACCCGGATACAATCGACTAGTTTTCTCGATCGCTTCGCCCATTCGACCAGCCAGTACCAACTTCAGTATTTCTACATAAAAAAAACCATTAGATTCACCGTACAAGTTACTTTCCTGAATTTATCATTAGTTCTTTGGTGAAAAATTGATATGTTATAAAAGATAAAAAAAAGAAAAACAAATTCTGGCACTAGGATGCGCAAACAATTAGTGCTACCGCACTAAAAGTACCAAAGATTATGCGCTTGATTCGATTGAAAATCGAATGAAAAAAATGTGTGGCACAAAATTCTGCCACTAAAATTTTTTGAGTAGTTTGATAATTTATAGCTCTTGTATTTGTATTCCGATTTTACAGATTCTTGCATCAGTTTGTAGGTACATGTATTAACCTCGTTTGTTAATATTCTGGCAATAAACAATTTTTGCTTAGATAGCATTATACGATGGTAAATAGAAGCATTGTGGAAAAAAATTTAAATTTTTTAAATTTAAAAAAATCTGTGGATAAATTGAAGAGCTGGTTTTGTTTCATAGTCCTTTCGTATTATCTCCGAGGTATCCCTAAGATTTTTTTTAATTATCCGAATATCTCTTTTCTTGTAAGAGGTGCACAATTTTATGTAAATAAAAACACTGATTTACTCATAAACATGAATATCTTATTTATTATTAAATGCCAGTGACAACAATTACATTTTCATTTGTAAAAATGACAGTGGCAACAAGAAAATAACTTATTTATTAGCATGGTCTTAACAGCAGCCGACGTGGCTCGAATTGTTGCTTTGAGGATGGTCGTACCAAAAGTTATGAGGCAAGAACTTTGGAATTTCCGCGTTTTACACTTCGAGATGATTGGGATAGGTATCTGAAGACTAGTAAATGTCGCAAGACGCCAAGACTCTGGCAGTAGATCAACTAATGCAGCTTATGATCGCTCTGACGTTGTTAGATCTTTGAGCGATCGAAGAGATACTGCTGTGTCTAAAAAATCAACTGGAAATTGTATGTTATATAAATTTAAGTGATTGGCAGAAGTTGAGCTTCTTTCACAAAGGCCGCGGCAGCACCACAACTACTTCCTCGGCATCTACAACAGCGACTTCGTTGGAAATGGAGCTATGACTGCCCGTCGCTATATGCGATAGCACTAGACCTCACGTTGACCATATTGCAAATGATTATCTGGATGAGATTGAATTTATGATTGGAATAGCCCATATTTACTCCAATTCTCAATCCAATCAAGCATTTATGGAATGAATTGAAAAGAGCTATTCGCCGTCGTCCTAAGACTCCACAAAAATTTGGCCTACAGTTAAGGTTGGCGCTGGTAGAGGAATATCCGGCTATTCCCGAGGTAAGGAACACATCCTATTCATTCGATGCTACGAGAAGTGGACATACTCTCTAATGAATTGTTGCGTGTTTTTAATTTTAGTGCATTTGATACTTTTAATTAAATAAAACCTTTTTATTAAAGCAGTATGTTTATTTACAGCTCTTACAAGAAGAGAGATTAGGATAATTCAAAAAACAAAATCTTAGATATGCCTCCAAGATAACACGAAAGTACTATTAAACAAAATCAAACCTTCAATTTTTCCACATAATTTTTTAAAGTTACAAGAAAATACAACGCAGTTGGAACAAAATGACACACCTGAAAAACGCTCCTTAACAGACGCATTGGTCAGAGAAGAAGAGGAAGATATAGAACAAGGTTCCTTGATAACATCGATGAAGACATGAGAAATATGGGAATACAATACGTGCTTGACGGAGAAAGGCGATGGATAGAGACGACTGAAGAGAAATTCTTGAGGAGGCTAGGACCCACGCAGGGTTGTAAAGCCAGAATGATGATGGTGAAAATACAACGCTTTCATTCACACGCTAATGCCATCTAAGCAAACATTTTTTATTACCAGAATAATAACCTGAAGCAAGACTCTTGAAAACCGGAATACAAATTAAAAAAAGTCATGATTTGTCAAACTTAATCAAAACTTTTTAGTGGCGGAATTCTGTGCCGGGGAGTGTATTTTCGTAGGGTTGCCTTGATAGTACAGAATGTAAGGAATTAGAAAAATGTAATTATTATTATATATTATGCTATATCTGTTTCATTTACTACGAAAAGGTATTTGATCAAGTTTAACATGACCTACTTTTTAAATGCATGGAAACGGTAGGATTGGATAACTATGATTGAAGACTACTAAAATAGCTATATTATAAACCAAATAGCCTGTCCAAACTGAAAACAGCTTCATCAAGAAACTGCCCATAAAAGTGAGTACAAAAAAACTAGCTATTAATATCAAATCTTTTTAATTTATATTGCGAGAAAATGTTACAGGAAGCAAGGGTGGAAGAACAGAAGGAATAAAAATTGGTGAACAAGCAATTAATAATATCAGATTGCTGATAAGACAGCCACTTACAGAAAGTGTACAAGATCTTCAAACACTATTAAACTTGATAAATAGAGAAAGTAAAAGAAAAGGCCCCAAAACTAATACTAAGAAAACAATGTGGATGGCAGTTGACAAACTAAATATAGCTCCACACCAAATTTGGATAGATGTAGAGAAAGTAGAACGTGTCAGACTTTGCTGAGGAGATAATACCACGGACTACAATATCAGTAAGGTACTATTTTAGATTTTTTTACTTTACACAAAATTTTGTGATAATATTAAAAATGACCCATGACAGATATAAAGATCTCAAAGCAAGACATTCAATTCCTAAAAAACGAAAATTTTTCTACAGCTGCATAAGACAAAAAACATAAAAACAACAGTTTTAATATTGTATTTATGTTATGACTAAATTTTATTGATATATAATTTTATACACTTCACCATAAAATATTATCAGAAAATCTTACTTTGTCTGTTCTTGATAGATCCTATATCTTCATTGAATGGCTGTTCGGTAATATGGGCAAACGCTTCTGCTGTATTACAATAACCATGATGTACAAGGTACGTGGATACCATTCTGAAATAAATCAAACAATCAATACACCCGATAAATCTAGTATACTTACTACCTTAACATATATAACCTAGTTTTTAAAAAGTTCTAGTATGTATATGAGATCTGGTAATTAAATTCCAAGTGATTGTTTGTCTGTAGTTTGAAGAACGCCTGTATAGAAAGAAGAATTTAAGAGGCGTAGTTTAGTGAGTTTAGACTGCTAAAATTATATCTCTTGACCTTGGGTAAAAATTTCAAGCAAATGTAACAAATAGTTTCTTTGTAATTGTCACTTATCAAAGGTGAACATCGTCAAAAAATTGTTCGCACTGGAAAATCCATGCAGATGATGACTCAAAACTACCTGAGAGTCAAAATTCATAGCGATGTTGACTATTTTTATGGGTATATTATAGGACTTTCGATATATGGGACATAATTCACCTGGAATGGGCACACTCTGTCCAGGGTTAGTTACTTGACCAAAAGCCAGGTTACAGTCATGAAGCACCGGTCCTATTATAAAAAAATTAAAATTCTGCTTGAAAGGAACCTACCACAGCTCATTCATCATTATTATCATCACTAGGACTCCCTCGTTTGTAGAGACAGTCCAGAGTGGACATAGTTGTGTAGTATCGATTAAATATTTCGTCATCTTTGATAGCAGAACATCTTGACATCGTGTAGGTGGTCTTTCTCTGTTTCGTTTATCTGTCCTTGGCTCCCATTCAGATAACTTGCGTGTCCACCTTACATCCTTCATGCTAGCCACGTGGCCAGCCTATCTCGATTTTATTCTGTAAGCTTTTTACACAACACCTGTAGGTCTGACTCTGTTTCTTGGGTCAGACCTACAGGTGTTGTGTAAACCAACTGGATCTTGGTGGGTCTTTATTTTTGATCTTAACTTTTATTATTACACATGTCATTGAAGGTTCCATTCTTCTTTGTGCTATTTTTAGTTTCGAATCATTGGTTTTTAGGAACAGTGTTTCGGTACCGTAGGGTGTTCTGATCAGTTCATTGGATCAAAAATTGGCAAACATCAGCGCTATAATAAAAAAAAGTGGTACAGTAGGCGGTACTGTAGACTAGCGCAGAGCTTCATACTATGTTTTATGTATTTTTAAAATTTAAATATTTTTAAAATTGAATAAAGTTATTTTATTTATTATTTTACATACATTTTAATAAAATTGAAAATCAGCTTACTGAGTTTTTATTTAATCTAAGACAGTTTCTGTGTTTGATGACTATTTATTAGGTACATATGCATTGGTGATTTGCTGTTCTTTGATAAAGGTTGTAAACTCTAATACCCCTAACAAATCAGATGTGTATGATTTGCTTCCATAAACAAATCCATTAGGATGGTGTGAAATTTTTTTTTATTTGGAATGTACAATGATAAGTTGAAACTGTTTGAAGGTTAAAAGTGACTAAGTTTATTAAAAAAAGTATAACTCACTTGTTTAATGTGGCTTGCCATTCTCCTTGACTTTCTGGCACGGGAAAATCGTTTATTTCGATTCTTGTTCGTGATCTCAATTCTCTCATCATGTCTTCGATATCGAAAACAAAAGGTTCTTGTCCAAAATTCGCATCTACAACTTCACCTGGAGTTTGCAACCCAACGGTAGGATATAAATTAGGCTAAAACAAGCAATAGATAAACAATTTATCACTTTTTATTAATATAAATCTTCGAATTAAATATAATCATTTTTAATGAATAAATGATATGGTATGGAACTAAATATGCAGTGTAAAGCAGAACCGAAAATATGGTCCTACTACCAAATTAATCAAGTAAATCCAGCTATTATAATATAAAAATAACAATACAGGTCTTAAATATCGGTTCTGAAACAATTTTCTTGTAGCATTTCTGTATCATCTAAAAAAGGGTGGAGAGAAGCTCGACACAGAAATACACTCCCTTATTGTAACAATATGGGAAAAGGAAGAAATTCCTGAACAGTGGACCAAAACACTAATAAAATACCATTATTCACAAAAGGAGATAGAAGTAACTTGTGATATAAAATATATCCTAAACTAATAAAACTAAACTAATAAAAGACTTTGAATAATTTAATAAATTATTCAAAGTGTTATATATATTTAACATTGTTAACATGTGTGTCGTGTTCCTTAATACTTTCATTACGCTTTAAGTTAGCATTGTAGATTCAGCCTTTTTATATAAACATTATTTGGCCTAATAGCCGTTATCTTATATAATGGTAAACAGAAAATGAATCGAAGTTCAGTTTAGTCATTGAGTAAATTATTCGTAGTAAACATTCGTAATTTTAGATGTAAAAACATAATCATATCTTCTTCTAAATGTGCCTATCTTCTAGAGATGTTGGCGACCACATTGACCAATCTTATTCTATTCACAGCAGCTCGAAATATATCAGTTGACGTTAGACCAGTCCATTTCCTAAGATTGGCCGCCAGCCAGGATATACGTCTACGTCCAGAGCCTCTTTTACTCTCAATCTTACCCTGTAGAATCAACTGTAGAAGTCGGTATTTATCATTACGCATGATGTGGCCGAAGTAACCCAATTTTCTGTTTTTTATGGTGTTAATAATTTCTTTCTCTATTCTTAGCCTCTGGAGAATAGCTATGTTACTTGTGTGATGTATATATGAAACATACGTCGGTAGCACCATATTTCAAATGCCTTCAATCGTTTTAAGGCATCTTCTGTAAGGCTTCAGCTTTCTACTCCATAGAGGACACTAAAGACGTAACATCTAAGAATTCTTATGCATACATTAATACTTAAAAATAAGTTGCAGAGAATCTTCCTAAGGCTGTTGAAAGAGCTTCTGGCCTTTTTCAATACGAGTTTTTATTTCGTAGCTGTGATCCCAAGTATCTTTAATATTGCAGCCCAAAGAGCACATTTTTTCCACTCTTTCTAACGGTGTATCGTTAATTTTAATTTTGGCGTTTATGCTGGTGTTCTTAGTAATGATCATTATTTTTGTCTTCTTGCAATTTAGTTTTAGGTCGTATTTGTTACATGTTTCTACAACGTTATCTATCATCCTTTGGAGCCTCTGCGCACTATCTGCCAGCAACACTGTATCGTCTGAATATCTAATGTTGTTTATAAGTTGGCCCTTTACAGCAATCACATCTTCTGATTCGTCCAAGGCCATGTTAAATAAAGCCGGTGACAATATGCAACCCTGTCTAACTCCTTTTTCGATTGTGAATATAAATAACTAATATTCACCAGTATAAGTTATCGGGTTGTAAATAGTGATGAATAAATACATTACATCACATTAAGCATATGATTTCAATACGCAGAAATCCGTGCTGGGTAACGGAAGTACTCCAAGTAATTAATTTCAATTTTAGTAAAAAATTGGAATTATATATAATAATTGTTATAAAAAAAATGATTTGGTAATACATTTTAAAGATTAGCAGGAGAAAAAAAATATTTTGAAGTTATAAAAACAAAACACCATCTGGGGTACCTAAAATACCTCGAACGGTCACGGAAAGGTTAAAACGGACCGTAAAATTTCCAAATAGAAGTTATGATTTAGATTTAGTTATGTTTAGTAACCAACAGATATGTAGGTAGCGACCACAGCCTAGTATTACGCAAAATAAGAATAATCCTGAAATACTTCCCACCCAAAAGAGCGCCGCCAACACAAACAAAAATCAAAGTCGAAGGACTAAATACGGAATCCACGGAATACTTATACAGGAAAAGAATATCAGAAAAGATCGCTGGGAATGACATATTAGAAAACGATAACATCGAGGAAAGCTGGGAAAAACTCAAAAATAGCAACAGAATCACTTGGAGAGAGGAAAGTAACGGACACTAACATATCAAAAAAGAAAACACCATGGTTTCGAGAGGAAGTGAAGACAAAATGTGAGGAAAAGAAGAAAGCCTTTTTACAATACAGAACACAACAAACACAACAGGCATACAACCACTATAAACGAATCAGAAATGAAACGAATACTTTAGTTAGACAAATAAAAAAGGAACACTGGCAGAGTTTCTCAAAACAGATGGAACACAAAAAGAAATATGGAGAATGATCAGAGGACAAAGAAAAGAGATGAACTAACTAATAAAACGAAACACATTCAGAAGGAAACATGGGTAGACTACTTACGATACCTATTTGCTAAAGGTGACGATAATGAACCAACAACACCAGAGGTGACGACAAACGAAGAAATAAATATAGAGGAGGAAGAGGTAAAGGAAGCATCAAGGAAATTAAAAAATAGAAAATCACCAGGAAAGGCACGAATTCCTAAAATACGGAGGACCAGATCTAACCAAACAACTATTAAAACCATTCCAAAAAATAATAGAACAAAACAAAATTCCTCCAGAATGGAGATCAAGCATCCTAATACCTCTCTTCAAAAAGGAAGACAACCAAAGAGATAACAAATATATTGAATGAAAATAACACTAGCAGAAGAACAACAAGGTTTTAGGTCGGGAAGATCATGCACCGACGCTATATTTATAATGAGGCAAGTGCAAGAGAACTCATTAGAATACAACAAACCGGCATATCTATGTTTCGTGGACATTACAAAGGCATTTGACCGCGTCAAAATATAAGACGTTATCCACTTACTGTACCCAAGAGAGATGCCTCTAGGAAAAATCAAAACGATCGAAAATATCTACCAAAACAACACAATAAAAGTAAAAGTAGAAGAAGAACTAACCGACACTATTGAAGCTGGCAATGGGGTAAAACAGGAAGATTCATTGAGTCCTCTATTGTTCAACCTGATTATGGATGAAATAATAAAAAAAAAGTAAGAACTAAAAAAGGATACCAAGTGGGAGAAAAACAACTTAAAATAATCTGCTATGCAGATGACGCAATACTACTCTCTCAAAGTAAAGATGATTTACAACGTATGCTGCACCAATTTAATATAACCGCCAGAAAATTTAACATGTTAATTTGCCCACGAAAGACAAAATCCATGGTTACAACAGCGAATTTACTAAGATGTAAATTGGAGCTGGAAGGTCAGATAATAGAACCAGTGATGGAGTTTAAATATCTAGGCATCACATTATCTAGCTACGGAAAGCTCGAAACCGAAGTGGAAGATCAAGTGAATAGAGCAAAAAGCCCAGCAGGCTGCCTAAATGAAACAATATGGAGGAATATAAATATCGGGAAAAAAACGGAAAGCAGAATTTACAAAACAGTCATCAGACCAATAATGACAAACGGCAGAATCAAGACCTGATACAGAGAGGACAAAAATGATATTAGAAACAGCAGAGATGAAAGGTGGAGAACATCAAGAACTGGGTAAGAAATAGAAGAGTAGAACTGAACGATCATATAAGCCTAATGACGACAAATAGAGTAGTAAAGACGGCAAGAGACGGTTTCCCAATGGGAAGACCATCAGTAGAAAGACTACGAAAACGATGTAACGACAACTTACTGGAGGCACAGGAAAACGGACAGAATCATGTCTATATAAAAAGAAGAAGAAGAAAAAGTTATAATTTGGGGTGGTATGACAGTTTCAGGGTCGTAAATGCTGCGAAATATCAACAAAAACAGCCTACTACCAAACATTGTGAAATAAAATGTTGGCGAGATTTATATTTTTCAGTCGGATGGAGCGGATTTTCATATGACCAGAACCACAGAAAAATTACTTGGAAACCGCAATATAAACGTTCTTTCTTGGACCTTCCAAAAGTCCTGACTTGGATTTTATTGAAACAGTATGGCATAACATTAAAGAAACGCTAAGGAACAACCCACGGTTGACATTAAACGAACTTAAAGCCAAATAAATATTCGTTCTGCCCCATAATTTAGTTGCCAACAAAATTAACAATTTTTATTATTAATTATTCATGTATTTTAGTTTGCCCCAATATATTATAGTTGTTAGGGCGCGTATATGTCTATATTATAATCAATTAGAATTCATAAAAAAATAGAAAACAAAGATGGACATAATTGTCCAACATCGTCGTCATGAAATCATATTAGAGACACAGACTACAATATAAACAATTCCGATTAATTATTCGTAATTAACATATCAATTACAAACGTCTAATTAGTAGCAAATGTGATAATCAGAACTCTACTTGCACGGAATTGACTTAGTGTCCTTGATTACCGCAACACAACGTATTTTCCAAATCAAATTATAAAAGTTACGGAATTCACAAATGATAAGTCTCTGTTTAAATAATGATAGGATATCTAACTTACCGGAAGGTCTCTGAAGGCAGTGCCAAGGTAATGCCCATTTTTAGTGTAAAAACAAGTGCTGTCGATCAAATTTACTCCGCAACCAATAACATCACCCGTTGTAAATGTTGGTCCATAGGGCTGTCCCGTTCCGGATGAACAGAATGAATGACCATCGTCACCATGATACCCATAGGATTGTTTATCCCATCCTGTTTAATAAAACGAAATTAAGGTTCCACCATTATAAATAAAAGCTAAAGGTGTATGATAGAAGATAATTAGATTAGAGATAAAAATTATCTTTAACTTAAATTTCCATTCATTTATCTCCCTTCGTATTACTCATCCATCGAATTATTTTTATTAGCCACAGTGTTTCGAGACACTTTTCTTATGACATTATACATTATTTAAACCGAAAATTGAAATTTACCAAATCTATGAAAATGTTGATAAGTATTACCTATACTTCAAATTACGTTCGCGTTTTTGTACTCTCGTCGATGGTACATATACAGGAGACTCACGATTATCCGACACCCGATTAACAGAGCCTTTGGATTAACCGAGGTAGTAATTGAAAAGAACAAAGTGTCACTAGCGAGTATTATTCTCTAGCCACTATGCTTCTACTGGCCGCCACACCCTCACCAGCCACTCCTTTACCCGTCAGTTTGAGTCATAACAGCTAGCTGTTTGGTTCGTCCTACAGTAAGCGCATACAAGTTCATTTACGTCTTCTCTTTGTGTACTTTTTACGTAACTTGAAGTGCAATATAAGTTTAAAATGTAAACTAGTTGTGGTTTCTTTAGAAACAAAATTAATTGCTATAAAACGCTTGGATAAGGATGTCAGTAAATAAGGCTGTTGCTAATCTAGCTGTTTTAGAAGTGAGTGTGGGAGATTGGAGACGTAAACGAAAAGATATTGAACAATGGGTTATTAAAAGTGTGAGTAGTGAAAGTGATTGGTTGCGGAAAATTATGAAGAAAGGAGAATACGAACAGACTTCTGAAGCCTCATTTTTAGTGTTTTTTAATCTTCGAGAGTTGGGAAGTCCAATTAGCGGCCCCATGCTTCAAGCTAAGGCTGTCGAATTTCACAAACGATTTAAGGATGGTGAAGAAAATTTTACTGCAAGTAATGGTTGGTTCAATAAATGGAAGAAGAGGTATGGCATCCGACAACTGAACATTTCGGGTGAAAAAGTTTCGGCTGATTTAGCTGAAATTGAGCCGTTTAATTTAAAATTAAGAGATCTCATTTAAGAGCATGGCCTTACGTTAAGCCAAATCCTTAATTGTGACAAAACGGGTCTCAATTTCAGAATGCTTCCAACCAAAACACTGGCAGCTCAAAGTAAAAAAAAACTGCGCGTAGATACAAAAAAAGCAAACAACAAGTAACTCTTTTAATGTGTAGCAACTCTTCTGGATCCTTAAAATTAAGACCATTGGCAAATCGAAGAATCCAAGTGTTTTTAAAATAATTAATTAAGTAAGTTAATAATTAAGTTGCCACATTTTTAGGATTGGTTTTTTGATGAGTTCGTTTGCGTTTTTGAGGCCTACTTAAAAAAGAACAACCTACCAAGAAAAGCTATTCTTTTTTTGGACAACGTACCATCTCATCCAGATGCAAGTTCGTTCGCTAGCGGTGACCTTAAAGACACTACAACTGTTTTGTTTTGCTAACAAACGTTACATTCTCATTCAACCTCTGGACCAAGGAATTTTAGAGGCTATGAAACGAAACTATCGTCGAAGGCTTCTCCAAGTGTTGTTGCCTTGGTTGGATGAGGGAATGACTGTGACAGCAGCCTTTAAAAAGATCACCGTTAGGGATGTGCTACTGTATAGCTTCAGCGTGGGATGATGTGACAGTAACAATTTTGTAAAAGTCATAGCCAAAGCTTTTTCAAATTGAAGCGACAAGTGATGGAAAATATAACAATAACTGTATTGCTGAAATAATAGACCTTGATACTCAGCTTCCAACTGAACTGCCAATAAATGATGAAGACGTCAACGAGTGGGTTATGCAAGATCAGCTAATGGAACTGACTGGTGATGCCATCGGCGACATGGTTATCAACCCACATAATGTCACTGAGCATGACACAAATGAGATAATCAAGAAAATATCTCACTACGAAGGATTGAAGGTGATTGGAGCTGCCCTCGCCTACATTGAGCAACGGAAAGGAGTCAATCCCTACCGATGTCCTTCATCTTTGGCATTGGCGCAACATCGCAGCGTCAACAGGAGGCCAGAAGTTGACGCAGAAGACTTTTTAAAACATGAAACTGATCCAGTACGTAAACGTTTTCCTATCTGTATATTTTAACTATGTACTCTGTATAAAGGTTTACATACATACTTCAATTGTACATAATAAACTAATTACATACGTCAACTTTTAAATTTTTCGTTTCTTTTAAGCAAATACCCAATCTCCGCGTTATCCGAGTTTTTCGGTATCCGAAGTATGCGCGGTCCCAATTAGCTCGGATAATCGCGAGTCTACTTTACAACAATTGGGGCAATATGCAATAGATAAACAGGGCTTCTGCTTAAAGTCGACTTTACATTATGCAATTTTCACGCTATGCAAGAGCTATCCAAGACATAGTATGCAACTGCGCATGCCCACGGAATATTTCCAAGCAATATCTGTGCTAGACGAAAAATTAGAACGTGTTCTCTTTTTCATGCTATTTTGATGCAATTTATCGTCAAAATTCATGTGGCCAATATAATAAAATTTATAGTTTAGAATAAAACTTAACCTTATTGTGTGAGTTGAAATGTTAGTTATTGAATGTAATAATTTGTGATTTATATTTGACTATATTTAATGATGCACTGAAAGGGTCTAGCTTGTTAAGATAGTGAGAAATACCTCCAGCGATATTTCAAAAATAAAAATAACATGTTCTATATCAAAAATTATCCGACCAAAAAAATTTTTAGGCACCAAGACCCAAACATAACCTCAAAAAAATTAATACAACATTTTCGTTTTTTGCCTATATTTTCGGTTCTAATTATGGTAGAAACCCATTCTTTTAGAAAATTTAAATTTTTGAACGCTTTTGAAATTTTTTAAAATTTGTTTAAAAAAAATCATTTTCGTTCTAGCCGGTTAAGATAGTAAAATTCCCTCCGTCATATTCCAAAAATAAAAATACCATGTTCTACATCAAACACATTTTTAGACTTCTAGATCCAAATATAACCTCAAAAAAAAATTAAAACGTATTTTTTCGTTTTTTACCAATATATTTGGTTCTGATCACCGTAGACTTTTTTTCAGTTTATAGGGTTTTTTTATTGCCTACTAAATCGTATTTTTACAAAAAATTTGGTGCGAGATAATGGAGAAAATTTGACACTCATCCAATAATATATATTTTTTCGGAATGGCGATTGAGAGAGTTTTTTTTAATGAATTTTAAAAACTTCAAAAATTTGAATTTCCCCCCAACAAATTGGTAAAAAAATACCATAATGTAGACAATAAAATATTCTACAAACTTAAAGAAAGAATAAGATTCTTCGATTAATAAAACCGAAGATATTGTAAAAAACACATTTAATTTTTTTGGTTATGTTTGGGTCTAGGAGCCTAAAAAATTTCTTGGTCTAGTTTTTTTTATGTAGAAAAACCTTTATTTTTGGGATACTGCGGGAGGCATTTTATTATCTTAACCGGCTAGACCGAAAATGATTTTTCGTTATTTTGACCATGATATCTCACCTCAGCCAAAAATTTTGTAGATTAAAAAAAACGAGCTCTACCATGGTTAGAACCGAAGATATCGTCAAATAACAAAAAAGCCGCGTTTTAATTTTTTTCTATTTTATGTTTGGGTCTAGGAGTCAAAAAATTTTCTTTGGTCGGATACTTTTTCATATAGAACATCATAATATATCACTAGGGGCATTTTCACTATCTTAACCGATTGCCTATTCGATGGCCTTTTCTGTGATTTGTCTTAGTACAAATACGGAGTCTACGTAGGATCTTCCGGATCAGAAACCTTGTTGTTCATCTGATAAATTTGTTAGTTTATTGATTTCGTTGGTTAGGACTTTTGTGGTAAGGTATACCATCAATATAATCAAATGAATGGTTTATCAAGCGATTTTAACGTATCTGTTAATATTTTCAACCTATTTCTAAAAAAAAATATTTACAAAATTGTTAAAATTTCAAACCTGGCAAGCGATTCATGTTAACTCCTTGAGCTGACAAGCCAATACCCATATATCCATCTCGACCTTTGCTCACAATCTTTACTTCAAAATAATACAGACCACAAGAGGCAGGTATTGGATGGGTAGCTTGAACACTCGCAGCATCTTTGTGAGTTTTGCCATGACCTGCAAAAAAGATGAAAGATGTAATTAAAATTTAGGAGTAATGATTGGTCAAACTTTTGTTTGTCAGGTTTTATTTAAAAAATTTAAACGTAGTTCATTTTTGATTATTTATGATAACATGTCAATCTTAATGTTAAAATTTACATATCGATATAAAAGAGAATATAGATCTTCGTCTTCAGAATGAACCTCTTACAAAAACTCCAGCGTCTCTGATTCGCTGATATTTGTATGTCAACCAGATGCATTTTTAGGAAAAAACCATAATACGGAACGAAGAGCAACAATACCTACCAACTATAAGTAAACACAGCCTTCATGAGGTATCCAATGACAATGGCATCAGAATAATATATCTAGCAACTTTCCTTAACATGGTCATTGCCAGCACATGCTTCCAGCGAAAAAATATTCATAAGGGAACGTGGAGATCTTCAGATGGGGTTACAGTAAACATGATCGATCATGATATTATTGACTCTAGACATCACTCAGACGTAATAAACGTATGCAGCAGAAGAGGGGCAAATGCAGACTCGGATCACTACCTAGTGGAAACTAGAATAAGAGCCAGAATCTCAAACATTAAAAAAGAAAAGGGATCCAAAATTGAAAAATATGAAATAAAAAACTTAGCCAACAACAGCAACAGCAAAAAGGCAAAATGCAAAGAATATATAAAAGGAAGGTTAGAAAACAGACAAAAGCACAAGGATATTAACAGAGAATGTAAAGCGTGAAAAAACTTATACAAGACGTGGCAAAAGAGACCCTGGGTGTACAAAAAAAGCCCAAATCAACTGAACGACAGTGGTTCGATGAAGAGTGTCGTAACGTAACAGAGAGGAAAAATAATGCATATCAACGACTACAACAACAACAGAACACGAAACGCAGAGGAGGAATATAGAATGCTAAGGAGGGAAGAGAAGAAAATATATCGAAGAAAGAAAAGATAATATATAGAAAAAGAACTACAAAAAATGAAAGAACTAAATAAACCATCAGAGACCAGAAAATTCTACCAAAAACTTAACAAAAATAGAAAAGAATTTAAACCAAGAACAATGATGTGTAGAAACAAAGAAGGAGATATAGTAACTCAACAGAGTGAAATGCTACAAAGATGCACAGAATTCTTCAAAGGAAAGTTTGAAAAAACGAAGATCCACTATTTGATTGAATTATACTGGATCAAACAGATAACAGAGAAACAACTCCACCTTCAGTAGCTGAAATGAAGAAGTAGTTACCAGATTGAAAAACAACAAGTCACCTGGATTAGACAACATTAGCGCAGAATTAATAAAGAAAGGTGGAGACTCCATATTGAATGCGATACATGAACTAATAGTGAACATATGGAATAATAATCAACTGCCACAAGATTGGAATACCGGAGTAATTATCCCACTACATAAAAAGGGAGATCAGCTTTAATGTAAAAACTACCGGGCAATAACGCTACTGACTGTGGCATATTAAATACTGCCAAATATTGTGTATGAGGAACCATATGAGGAACAAATAGTTGGGGGATACCAATGTGGTTTCCGCAGACAGAAGTCCACAATAGATCAGATCTTTGTCTTAATACAAATCTTGAAAAAGAGTAGTGAATTTAATATAGACACACATCATCTGTTCATTGACTGTGAGAGTGCCTATGATAGCATCCATCGAGAATTTCTAATCCATGTACTGAAAGAGAATATTCCAACTCAACTCATTGATATAGTAAAAGAAACACTTGAAGTACAAAGGAAAATTCGAATTCAAAACGAACTAACAGATACAATCCATGTGATAACGGGCCGACGAACAAGACTGATAACAATGGGCTAATTACACATATAAGATCAAGGAGTGTCTATGATAGCATCCATCGAGAATTTCTAATCCATGTACTGAAAGAGAATATTCCAACTCAACTCATTGATATAGTAAAAGAAACACTTGAAGTACAAAGGAAAGTTCGAATTCAAAACGAACTAACAGATACAATCCATGTGATAACGGGCCGACGAACATAAATATAATGGGCTAATTACACATATAAGATCTAACATCACAAGAAAAACCAAATGCAAAATATACAAGACCCTGATAAAACCTGTCCTTGTATATGGATCAGAAACATAGGCACTGTCGAAAAGCGATGAGAACCCATTAGGTACATTTAAACGAAAAATCCTTAGACACATATATAAGAGGGTAAAAGAAAATGACATATGGCGCAGAAGATATAACTTTAAACTATACACAGCATACAATGAACCCGAGATCATAACATCCGTAAAGATCGGACGTCTGCGCTGGATGAGCCATGTTGAACGGATGTTGGAGAATAAAACACCAAAACATAACACCAGTAGAGAAGGTCAAAGGGAAGACCCAAACTTAGATACATGGAAAAAGTGGAACAAGATCTGAAAACACTTAAGATTACCAACAGAGCAAGCAAGGAACAGAACAGAATGGCGGAAATTCCTAGAACAAGCCAGGACCCAGGACCAGGAAAGGAATGTCGGGCTACTGATGATGATGATGATAATACGGAACGGCCAAATCCAAAACAATTTTCTTGAATTCTGATCTGAAAGAAAACAGATCTTTCTGCGCAAGTCAGGATATCGTATGATATACAACAGAACTATTGGTATGCCGATTAGGATTGTTAAATTTGTATTAAGCCTTCATGTAGAATATATGTTTTTTTATGCGTTATGAATCAATAATATGAATTATTTCATAATTCAAGCTTTTTTGAAAAAATTCAAAAATAGTGAATAATTTTGTTCATATAAAGTTAATACATTTTTGTCAGTTCATTAACAGAATATTGATAAATCTAGACTACAATGTCAGATTGCGCTGTGGCCACTTGTAAAAATAAAAACAAAACGACTAAAGGTACTGATGTAAATTACTTGGTTTTTCCTTGTCGAAGAAAATATAACATCAATTGAAAACACTATGAAGAAGATAAATATTTTAGTCATGATAAAAAGATAAGCGAGAAGAAAACAAAAATCTTTGAATAAAACAGCTAAAAAATAAAAGTCAAGAATTAAAGAAAGAAATAAAAAAAATATTCAAAGATTCATTACGTTATAAAGAACAAAGTTGAGGTTAAACAAATAAACTTTTATGTATTATGAAGAATTGTTGCTAAAAAATTAAGAAGAGCAATAAAAGGAATCACACAAGAGACAAGTCGAGATGTTATACAATTTAAGCCGCTATGATTATATCGCTCCACACATTTTTAAACCTTAAAAAAATCTGGAGATGAGTATTAAAAAACTAATTACAATGTCACAAGCTTGTTAAACAAGCCCCCTTAAATAGAGGCAAGCAAAAGCGAACACTCTTTAAATTAGCTAAATAGACATAATTTCTAAACTGAGTATCAATAATGATATAGATAATTTCAAAATTTCACCTTGTATTATTCATAATAAACCTTACATATAATACTTCGTTGAGTTAAGATTGTTACGTAGCTTTTAAAACATAAAAAATATAAACAGGGTGTTTCATTAAAAATAAAGCTGACGAACTATGCTAGGCTTGCGTGAATCACCATGTACATTCAAATAATATATTTAAAAACAGCATATTTGAATTTAAAAACTGAAGGCAACTACCCTTTTTTTAAATGAGGACATAAACAATTTTATTTCATAAGTGTACCTACTTATCCACACTGACATCATCAATATGCTAAGGAATCAAAATGTAAATAAGGAAGACCAGACAGATATAGACTCCTTCTGGATCAGAATAAAGGAAGATATTATAGCAGCAGCGAAAAATGAAATAGGAACAGAAATTTTTGCCCGTAAAAATCATTGGTTTGACGATGAATGCAAAAATGCAACACGAAAAAAAAACCTACAGAAAGATGATTACCCGATGAACTAGAACAACTGTAGAGACTTACCAGACAAAGAGAAGAGAAGAAACGAGGATACACAAAAGAAAAAACGAAACCACTTAAATAATGAAATTAAATATATAGAAAACCTATTAACAACAAGGAAAGATGTGTTCAATAGAGGGGTGGAATACTTTAACAAGGCACTGTGTAACGAGGAAGAAGAAAACCTGAAAGACGGAAAAGATGAGGTAAGGGGAACAGACGATAGGGAAGAAGAACCACCAACAATTCTTGAAGTTAAAGATGAATGCAAAAATGCAACAAACGAAAAAAAAAACCTACAGAAAGATGCTTATCCGATGAACTAGAACAACTGTAGAGAATTACCAGACAAAGAGAGGAGAAGAAAAGAGGATACACAAAAGAAAAAACGAAACCACTTAAATAATGAAATTAAATATATAGAAAACCTATTAACAACAAAGAAAGATGTATTCAATAGATGGGTGGAATATTTTAACAAGGCACTGAGTAACGAGAAAGAAGAAAACCTGGAAGACGGAAAAGATGAGGTAAGGGGAACAGACGAGAGGGAAGAAGAACCACCAACAATTCTTGAAGTTAAAGATGCAGATAAAAAACTAGCCAGAATCAAATCACCCGGAATAGATAATCTACCAGCTGAACTATATAAGGAAGGTGGCCATGATACCATAATGGCATTACAGCAGCTTATAAAAACAATATGGACACAGAAATCCCTCTCCAATGATTGGAATATTGGAATAATTTGCACCATACACAAAAAAGTAAATATCTTTGAATACTCTAGCCACAGAGGAATATGGCATTGATACTCATTATATATGTATAGACTACAAAGCAACCTACGACTTTGTGAATAGAAGAGAAATATTCAAAGCAATGAAAGAGCTAGGTATACCAAATCAGTTAGTAAATTTAACAAAACTAACTCTAGAAAAAGTTGAACGTAGACTACGAATTAAGGGAAACTGTCTGAACCTTTTCAAACAAATAACGGCTTGCGAGGGAGACCTCTCTCCTGTAGACTGTTCCATCCGGCTCTGGAAAAAGTAAAAAAAGTAATAGATATATC